AGCGCATGTCTGATTTTATAGAGGTTTTTTTAAATACCTTCTAACCCTAAAATATGCACTTAATAAATATAAAAAACTAACTACATGCTGATTTGCTTAGTCCATTGTTTGTTTTCCTTTTTTTCACTGTAGGCAACCAATTTGCAGAGACAAATGCCTTTAACCATTTTGTTAAGGAGAAAAAAACCACCTTTAGCACATCTTCTATTTTTTATTTTTTTAATGTGGTCTAGGCATGCTAAGTAATATTTAACCTCTGGCATCACTTCTGGGATTTCTTAATGCCAGCTATCAATGAATCCCATCTATAAAGAAGAGACAAATGAGTTTAACAACTGTACGTAGCTACTCTAGCTGAAACATGCTTTGACGAGCCATTTGTGGATTACAGTAAAACAGGGTTGCAACTTGCCAGACACAAATGCTTGAGTATGAGGAGGAATGTTTAAAACAAAAACCTGCTGGTTATGAATTAGTCACTATTGAATACCTAATAATAACATGCTCTCTTTTAGAAAGCAGGATAGCTTTTGAGGAAGCAAAGGAGACTGCCCATTAATAATGTCATTTATTTGTTACTGAAGGTTTCCAAGTGATCGGAAAGGTAGTACTGTTCAGTTCTAAGTGTTACCAACCTCCAACTTCTTGGAACAGGTTTTCTTGAAGTCTTGTGTCATGGATGCAAGTGATTACAAGTGATCAGAAGGAAAATAAACTTAAGAGGTGGGAAGTTTTGGAGTAGAAGTTCTTGTCCAATTTCTAGAGAAAGTTGTGAATATTGTTTGTAGACTCAAATCTAAATGGCAAATAAAGTGGATATCCAAATCAATTATATGTTTACATGAATCATAACTTTCAGATGATTTACCTAACTGTTTTATGGGTTTGGGCTTTTTAATAACTGTGATTAGAACACTTAGAGTTTCCCTGACCTTGCCATAAAACATCAGCTTTTCATGTTTTTTATTTATGGGATTAATATATAGCTTTTAGATTTGGATGATGCTAGTATGAGGATTGCATCTATATAGTTCCTTTGCTGCCTATTTCCTAATGGGTGTTGAAATTTCTGGCAGGAGGCTTTTTTTTTGCTTTCCAATTCAATGGAGAAATACGAAGTTAAAACTCAATATATTTTGAAATGATAACCCCAGGTATTCATTAGCATTTAAGTTGTTAAGATGCCAATAAAATTTATGCTGATTGTTACGGCACACACTGTAGTGAAACTATTAACTATAACAGAGATGAGATGGTCAAAAATTTCAGAACATTTTTGAAGTTTTAAAAATGCAGTATGCAAAATGAAGTAGTTCATATTAATTGCTAGGGACTTGCACGGAATACTAGACTGCCATTCTTGCCAGGTATATTCAAAAGTATAAAATAAATCTACTGAATTGTTCGTTAGCTGAGTAGTCATTTGGCCAGCCTAATGACATACTGCAAATAAAGTGCTTGAATATTTATTCATAGCATTGCTTACATGCACACAGTTATGTTAAGGACATGATTACAAAGCAGCCAAGTGTTCTGAGAACTCTCAGTAGGTACATTTAGATGTGTAATATTTCAGTAAAAATGTGGAAAAAAACCCTCTTTCGTTGCTTTTCTTCTTTAAGGCTTTGCAAGGATTGGCTAGTGAAAAGCTCAGCTTGCAGCTCACTGTATGAAATATTTTCTTGATGTTTTAGAGACTTGTGTATATCTTGGTCTCCTTGTTTTAAGAGAAGGATAAATCTTTCTGTATTACAGCACACCCAGTTGCAAGTAAACTTGTCTTCATCCTTTCCTTTAGAAGCCTTTTGCTTCCAACACCAAGTTGCAGGTGAAGTATCTCTTACATCTAAGACACTTCTGTATCAATCTTGTCGGTAAAAGATGTTATGACTAATCAGGATTACCAGATTTTCTTCGTACCATGAGTTCAAATTACCAGGTTACACTGATTTCCTGTTCCTTCCTTCCTTTCTGTTATTTCACTGTTAAACTGCATTTGCAGAAATCTAACTATTGCAAGGCTGTAGACATAGAACTGGTATCCTTATAAAATGTGCCCTGGCAGTAGAAGGAAGCTGTGGAGGAATGTTTGCTGGTTTTCAAGCCCCCGAGTGACAAATACTTGTCTTTGAACTGTTTTTTTTCTGATCTTGTTACAGTGGAGCAAAGCAGTGTTCCTGGTTCTGCTGCCATGCAGCTGAGGTTTTGATTTGAGTGTTTCCAACTGCAGTGGAGGAATGTAATAGCACAAGTATTTCTTAAAGCAAAAGGTGCTCCTTTTGAAAATTTCAGTGGGGTGAGAAAATTGAAGACAACCATTTATTTCCCCCACTGAGTTTAAAGGGACACTGTAAACTTAAAATTCTAGACCTTTGCAGAGGTTTTTCTTCTTTTTAAAAAATGATGGTAATGGTAGTGGTTTTTCTGCACACTTTTGTGGTTTGCTGTTCTGTTTCCGATGCAGAAATGCTCTGTGAAGGACTTTCACTGATTCTTTTCTCCTTGATAATAAGGTCAATCAATTGACCATAAAGCGTTATTAAGCACAAGAGACAGTCTGATTGCCTGAGGAGAAATGACAGAGGGAAAAGAAACTAGAAGATGTCCAGCTGAATCACTGTGATTTAATAACTTACTACCTGTCAGTTGAGCCACAGAAGTTGAGCTATTAGCCTGGCCAATTGATAGATAAAATGAATTGAGTAAATCAATTAAAGAATTAAATAACACCCTTTTTTTCCTTTTTTCTTTTTTTTTCTTTTTTCTTGTTTTCTGTTTTCTTTTTTCCTTCTTTTTTCCTTCTTTTTTCCCTTGGATTTGGAGTGGGATAATAGACCCCACTGTCCACTACACCAGGTTGCTCAAGCCCCATCCAACCTGGCCTTGAACACTTCCAGGGAAGGGCCATCCACAACTTTTCTGGGCAACCTGTTCCAGTGCCTCACCACCCTCAGAGTAAAGAGCTTCTTCCTGATATCTAATCTAAATCTACCCTTATTCAGCTTAAGGCCATTACCCCTTGTCCTGTCACTACATGCCCTTGTAAACAGTCCCTCTTCAGCTTTTCTGTAGGCCCCTTTAGGACCTGGAAGGCTGCTATAAGGTCTCCCCAGAGCCTTCTCTTCTCCAGGCTGAACAAGCCCAACCATCTCAGCCTGTCTTTATAGGAGAGGTGCTCCAGCCCTCTGGTCATCTTCATGGCCCTCCTCTGGACTGGCTTCAACAGCTCCATTTCTTTCTTGTACTGGGACCCTAGAGCTAGATGCAGTACTCCAGGTGAGGTCTCATGAGAGCAGAGTAGAGGGGGAGAATCACCTCCCTTGACCTGATTATGCTTCTTTTGATGCAGCCCAGGATATGGTTGGCTTTCTGGGCTGCAAGCGCACATTGCCAGCTCATGTTGAACTTCTTGTCCACCAACACCCTCAAGTCCTTCTCCTCATGGCTGCTCTCAATCCAAAGATGAAGGGGATCTTCCAAGTTCATGTCGAGAAAAATAAGAAAGTATACGTGCTTAGCTTGCCTGGGGAAAAAGAATGAATAGTCCTCCTCACCTTCATATCTCTAGACTGTTTCTGTCTACTTGTGACCAAATACAGCATTTTATTTTTTTACTTTGTGTTCAAGTCTCAATTCAGTACTAATTTGGGAGCCATTAGAAAGTAATAGAAGTGGCAATTTTCAAAGGTGTGATGCTGATTGGATTTCTGCAAGGACAGGGAAGCTATGCATGGATTGTTGCTTCTTGTCTTCAGTGTGTAGCCTACTGCTTTTGCATCAGTTAAACCACTGCTTAAAAAGACAGTAGTGAAGTAATTAATTGTCCTGTGATGAGAGTTGTTCACCACCTGGAGACAGTACTAACAATAACACTACTAAAGAATCAGTAGTAGAGGTGAAATACTTCTTTTGATGTCAGAAATGAAAGTAATAGCCAGTAAGAACCACTTAAGATACCGAACAAACACAGAAAAATAATCACATCCTACGTGCATGGGCAATGCATCTTACTTTTCCTTTTGAACTTCATAGAGCTACTCTGCCTGCCCATACTTTCCCTTTCCCTGCATTGCAATAACCATCCCTTTTATCGAAGAGGGCCAGACTCTACTCACTTGTCTCTTTGCCCCAAAACCAGCATTAGATGTATTCTTGTCTTTGATTTACAACAGACTTTTTCTAATTTTCCATCCTGTGTTCTTCTGCGGGAGGCAGTCTTCTCTTTCTTGAGATGATGGAACTAGCAATTTTAACTTCTCTTTACCTCAGCGTATTTTTGCTACTCAGTGTAGATGTTGGATGATGAACAGCTGTAGTTTCTTCCTGACATCATTCTTGCTACTGGAGTATCTGGTCTCTGGTCTACAAATAGTGACTAATAGTTTCTGTCATCTGAGCAGCATTTTCTGAACCCACTCTCTTGCCTGTAGCTAACTTGTTTGAATTAGCGGGTTTGTTTAAAGTAGCATTTTAAACATAATGATCCAACTACAGATTTTTTTGGTATTACTTTTACCCGAGTAGTTTAATAACAGTAAGTGTAGACATGAAACAAACTTGCCAAGTTTAAAAACAAACAAACAAAAACCAAACAAAAACCCATTTTTGACAACTTTTTTTTTTTTTAGTCTAATGAGGTGAGACAGTCAAATTTTAAAGTTTGGTAAAAGCTTATGTAATTTTGAGACCCTAAATAGGGAATGGTATAATGACACAAAAAGATCAATCTCTGTATATATGTTCTGGTAGGCTATTTTTGGTTTGTTCTTATTCTGTGCATGCAATTTAAAACTAAGCTGGATACCCTCTGCTTGGAAAAATGATCTTGCTAATATTCCTATCTTTTATGCTATGTGCCAATTTAAATTGACATGTAGCATGCAGGTTTCTTTATTATAATTGTTTGGGTGTGGGGTCTTTGGGGGTTTTGTTCTGTCGATAGTAAAATTTCCATGTGGTCATTGTAAAATTTACCTTTTTCTTTTTTTCTTTTTTAATAGTAGTGGAATGGGGTGATGATGTTAAAGCAGTATCTGAAGATGAAGCCATGGTGCTGGTGAACCATCAAGCAACAGGTGACGTCTGCACTCTGATGATGTGCCTTCAGGATAAAGGCACGGTAGGCTACAACTGGGAAATGGGATAGCTTCCATGTTTGCAGTCTGTTACCTTGGGTGTGCTTGCATCTATGTGCAATACTGATGACTGACCTCTGTGTGTTAATCCACCAAAAAATATCAAGGCCCTGAATAGGAAGCTTTTTGTTTAGATTTGGTTTAATGTGACAGCCAGTAGCTTGGAGCAGGTTTTAGACCATAAACGTTTTCTTTGAAGAAGGTCAAGTACGAGCTGAGTCAGTGTGCATCCAGTCTAGGTTAACATAGAGGGAAGCAGATCTCCTTGCAGGTAATCATGTACTTGACTTTTTCCTCTCACCTCATGCCAGCTTTGCTGAAACCAATGCAGGTCTAGCTTCTTGGTTATGACTTTATTCCAGCATGGAATTCTTCTCAAAGTTAGAAGCAAGTTGTTTATGGGATTTTTGGTAGGAGTTCAGAAACCGAAAGTGACTTCCCAACGAGGGTATGTCCAAGCTAAGCCAGCTAGCTAAGGTCAAAATTGCTTGAGCTCTTATTTCACAAACTCTTAAGCATTTCTTGGCGAAAGGTGCAACTATTGTCAATTGTTTCACGCATTGCTGTTCAGAAAATTCATGTCTAGGGAGTGTAGTGCTGGAAACTAGAGTATGGAATCTAAACAGGAAATTAAATTTATGTGCAAATCAGGAGGAAGAGGTATGTATGATGAGGCTACAAAGGGTGGGAGACATACCCGGCAAGCTGAAAAAATGCATTAGCTGTGTCTGTCTTAGTGTTGTCTTCTTTCTTGCAACAATATGGTGAAGAAACAAGGAAAACAATTGCTTTTTATTGCATCTGCACAACTTGTAATTAGCACTGTTTTTCTTAGTGTATATTAATATAGATTCTGTATGTGCTGTATCTCTACCAGTGATTTAAAATTTTTTAGAAATTCTCCCAGATCTTAACTCGTAACAGCAGAGCTGATTAAAAAAAATTAAACTCAAACCAAACTCAAAAAGAAAGTATGAAAATGCCACTCAAGATTGAGCAGAGACTAATTTATTTCTTTCTACTGTTGCCTAGAGAAGACTGTGTTTTAAAAGTACTTTTAATTGCTTTAATTTATTTTGGAATTGAGGAAATTAGTTATATATGGTATTCTGTACTGTACCTCAATGAGTAGAATGACAGAATAAACACTCTTTAATTCTCTTCATCAAAATTATGCGTAGGACAATGTTGTGATAAAGATATGACTGTGAGGGTATAGTCCTGTGGATATGTATTGCATGTAATTGTGACATTGATGTCCCAGGTGTTTTAAATATCACAGAGCTTCATTGACTCATGTATGTATATTAATGTGTATATATATCTAAACCATATTTATTCAGTTTGACTCCATAGTTAAAAGGTTTCAGTCAAGACAGAGTAAGTTTCAGTGAATGTAGATGATGTTAAAAATGGAGGAGGGCATTGAGATGGCAAATAATCTTCACCAGGGAAACTGTTAGGTTTGCAGGTTTTCAGAAAAGCAAAACATCTTTAAAATCAGTACTTCTTCCCTTAAATAGTTGTAGTCATTGCTCTTGGAATATCCATGACCAGAGCCTAGTATGGCTTTAATGTTTTTAGCTAATAAAAGAAAGAAAAAAGTGCGAGCTTCAACACATGCTTAAAATATATCATGGGTAGTACAAGTGGCTAAAAATAATGAGAAAGATGAGGATAGTTTATCCTTGATAGAACTTGCGGAATCAAGTGTTTTTAAATAGCATGCTTCATATTTCTGAACAGAACAGAATTGTCTTGAGTGACTGTGAAATGGCTGGACGAAAAAAGAAAAACCCACCTGTCCAAAAGAAATCATTATACAATAGGCAACTATTTAAATTAGGTAGTTTTCTTTAAATACAGTTTAAACTTAACATGAATTCCTTCACAACCTTGATATTCATCTGTTAGTAACAAGACAGAAATTCCCAAGAATTGTTTTTATTTTGCTTAGGTTAAGCTGCACTAATTCCTAAACACTTTTTAACACTCAGACAACACTTTTTAGCGCTCACAGTCTTTTGTGAAGTTGAAAGGCTCACTTCCATTTCACACAGAAGGGCATACAAAGAAGCAAATCAGCTTACTACAGGCGGCCTCTTGGCGGTGATGATGCAGTGGCAGAGCTAGGAAGACCTTCCTGCTGTGGCAGACCAAAATTTCTTTTGCTTGCTTTTGCCAGCCAGTACAGACTGAAACCAGGTGTAATCTGTAAGCACTTAGCATTTAATGCTGCTTTTAAAAAAAAGTTAATTTAAGATGTCAGGAATGTTCAATTTAAAGTTCTATGTTTTTCTGTGTGGTGAGATAGAATACTGAAACGGTCTTGCAACTTGACAATGTTTCCTAAGGGCCGTGTCAGGAACTGTGATGCTATTTTTTTTCTAGTATTCTATATTCTTATATACAAATGATAGTGTAGCCTATCTGTTTTAAGCAAATTTAATCTCACTAAGCAGTGAGCTACAATACATGTTAAGATGTTTCTTGTCTTTCAGATTCACTTACGTGAATAAGGAAAGCATGGTCTCTTATTAGGGAAGTGGAACTTAGCTAAAAGTTGTCATTTTAATGGAAGGACTAATACATGTTATCATAAGACAAGCCACACAGAGCAAGGTTTCAGCTGAATCAGAAGTGACCTAATTACACCTTTTATGTAGTTCAAGAAATCATTCCAATTTGTTTGTGAAAGTAAGTGTTGAAAGAAAACTTAGTTGAGGTCTCACAAAGATTGTGTGTTTAACAAAGAGAAGTAGGTTAAAATGCTGCTATTACTGCTTTCTGACTGTTTTAGGACTGATAACTGTGGCTATTTTTATTGATTTAGTGCAAAAGCAGTGCCAGAAAGGGTGCAGTGGAGAGAAAAAAGTAGAGCTTGTAGCTGAGTGCAAGTTTCAAGACATGCGTTCCCAGGTTTCATTGTTAAGTTAGAGGTGCTTGAAAGATGAAAGTCAGTCTATTCTGGTTGCTTCGTTATGAAATCTATGTAGAGTGAAATGAAAGTGGGCCTTTGAATAGGAGGCACCTGGATTTTTTGATTTTTTTTTTTTTTTTTTTTAATAAAATTGGTAAAAGCTTTTTCTGCATTCTGAACTTAGTTAAGCAGGAAGGATGAAGCAAAAAGGACCTGAAACAGAATCCAAAAATTCTTTCAATCCATAAACAACTATGAATCTGTGCTCAAAACACTTCTGAATGTTTTTTGCTTGAAATGCAAGTGATAAGAGACTCATCTGATAAGCATTCTTTTGTTCCTGAGGATACTAAATGGAAGAACCACCACCAATATCTTGCAGTGTCCTCTATTCTGTCCTTGGTAGCATAACAGAATGAATATCCGTTAATCTAATTTGCCTTTTGATTGCGTTCTACTCTTTGAACTCCTTCTTTTTTATTTTATGTGTTTGTGTGTATATATTCATTAATTCATATATAAAATATATGTATTACCCCTTTGTACTTCTTACTACTGCCTATACTTATAGGCATATTTGTAATCACTGAGCTCTGGAGTTTGCCTCTTTGTAGCTCACTTGCAGTAAACTGTCTGTACATTTTGTCTTGGTTATAACTTGTATGTCACACTGATCTTTGACAGTTGCATCACTCCATCTCAAAAAGACTGAGGAAGTCCAGGGATGCTAGTTAGAAGCCCTGTGTCACCTAAGACATGGTGAGATGGACTTCAGGCTCTGAAGAGCAATGATAAACTTTAAAGAGAAACCTACCGTCATCTAAATGCCCAGCTGGTACACAACAGTAAAGTGGTACGGGAGGAGAGAAGCCCTAGCATTGCTGGGCAAGAGTTCCTCCTCCAGGATTGCCATAGAACGTCTAGGGACCAGTGTTGACCCCTCAAAGGCACAAACCTTTTCTTTTCAGGGAAGCAGTTTATTAAGCTTGCTTATCTCCCCCAGTAACATAGATTATGTTGGTTTAGCTTCTACTTGTTATAATAAAACAATATTTGTCAAAATGCTAAAGAAAGAGATGAACACTGACAGTCATATGGGTACAGCTGCAGGCTAGATCATCATCACTGGAATTTTGGTGGTGGTTTTGTCAAAGGATATGGTTCACTGCATGAACGTGTCATCTTTGGGCTGGTGTGCAGCCATGAACCTGGGATATTGTAGTGCCTTGAAGAGCAATAACACCTCACAGAGATGCTTTTTTTTTTTTAAACTCTTGTCCTTAGGGCACACCTTTTCTTTCTTTCTTTTCCCCTCCCTAAGGCTTTCTAATTTACTGAAATTAAAAGAATGTGAATCTCTGCAGAGAAGAATTTTTGCTTTAAGATCCTCTCTTTTATTTAATGCAGGCCCAGGGATAGCTGTATGAGAAACTGTTTCACCTATATTAGTCTCAAGTGAGGACTTACGTCTAGGAACTAATTTTTCTTTTATCTCTCATAATTACATAGTATGTCTTTGTTCACTTGGATGTCTAGTAAGAAATACCACTGGCAGTCAGGAAAGGATACTAGCATGTCACAGTGAAGAAACGGATGCTTGTTTCCGAAGCAAAACCTCTTAGATCTTTGAGAGCTGTCCTTTTCTCTCCAATATGGTTTTCTTTTCCGCTTCCAGTGATGCTAGAGGGTCCAGAAATTGATGCTCTTGCATTATCCAAGATCTTCAAATAAAAAGTTTGCTAGAATTTTAGACCACAAAAGTTGGCGTCATCTTAATGTATGTGTTCTTAGGCAAGGATAGCTGGCTTCTAAATGTGACAGATTTAGCTGGGAGATCAGCTGTATGTCTAAGGCAATAAAGGATCTTAAGCGTTCTTTGGCAGGTACGTTCTTGCAAGTGTGTAAAAACTTCACTTTGCTGAGCATCTGGCTGCAGTTGCTTAAGGATAAGTAAAAGAAACAGGGTATGTGACAGTTATCTTTCTCCAAATATATAACCCAGGATTCTTTTATAGCTTCTGTGGTCAAAAGGGAGAATAGGTAATCAGAGCACTCCAAGAGATAATTAGATTTTTGGGGGAGAAAGACTTACTGATACATGCAGTTCTAGATGCAAACAGCAAATTATCGAGCTGCTTTTACAAAACAGAATTCCTGCATGAAATATGATCTGCTGCTTTTTATAAATTCCATGCAGACATGTGAAGATGTGAAAACAGGTAAAAGCCACCATCCTCCACTGTGTCAAACTACTTTGTTAGAAGTATTGTTGGAGGCATGGGTGTGGCTTCTGAGTATTTCAATTACTGTGCCAACCTCTGGTGTTTGGAGAGAAGGGTAGAGTACATTTTAGCAGTAGATGTAATCAACTAATACATGAACAATGCATTGTATTTTCTAAAGGAAATCTTTATTTCTTAGACTGCTCTATTTCTGTCTTGGCCCCAAATTATGTATCTAGGACAGCTGAAGGTGCCTGACTACCAGAGAAATACCATGGTTCTCCATATACTTTTTTGATTGTGATAAATGGAAGACTATATGTTATATGACTTTAAGTTTCACTGAACTTGAATCAGTATTGGTGTGGCCATATAACATAGGGAAGAGTAAAGGCTGCTAGCCTCATCTATGATTGAGGGCGTGTAAGCAACACTGGATTTTCCCGTTTTGGAGAGCCAGCTCCTATCCATTTCAGAATCTACAGGTCGGAACTATAGAGGGGAAAGATGTGAGAGAAGCAGCTTTTCCCCTCTATTTTTTACCTCTTCTGGAGTAATTCTTCTATTTTAAATTTCAAAGGGCTGAACAGGTATAAATCGGCCTTCGTCATCCTGTAAGAAGTGATGGTCAAAGTGAATCTAATGGCTCAACCTCTGTTTTTCCCTTCTCACCATGCTTCTTGGCTGGGACAAGGAGCATGACTTAATGAAATTTTCAGAGATGCATGTGGCTGCTCTGCCATGAGAGAAATCAGTAATAGCATGTGGACTGTACGTAGGTCTCAGTGAATGCTGCTGTTCAAAGACAGAGTGAGCATGTATGGAGCATGTGCACAGCAGAAGCATGAGAACAACATGATCTCATCCCTAAAATGGCCAAGTACAAAAAAATACAAGAAAACATGTCTTCGTGATAGGCATAAAACGGTTGGAGATTTCAAATAGAGATCTTTGTTTTGTGTACCTTAACAAACACTGAAAATGGTTTTAGTTTGCAACTGGCTTAAAGTTGTGGTATGTCAGTAAGAAGCATTACATTACCTGTGTGAAAAGATGGAGTAGAAATTATTCTAGCATGTGGCTAGAATGTAGAAGTGTATATTATATTACAAAAAGACAGCTATTTAATCCTTCTCTTGAGGGAGAAGAGTAATATCTGTGCTGCTTTATCCTTTGGGGCTTAAAGGACTTTATTCCATATATTTGCTAGTTTTATTGCCATTGCAAGAATGACAAGAATGTGACAGTGTATGCATAATTCTCTGCACTTGATAGTTACTAAACTTTTTTTTTCTAACTTTTCAGGTTGTCCGTCAGATGATGTGGCTGATGGATCATATTTTTAAGTATACAAATTTTGGCATTGTGTCTCTAATCCACGGAGACTTCTTTATAAGACAGGTAAATAGGAACATGTAATAGTGCTTTGATTTATGCTTACGTTTGGAACATTGTGTTGTTATGGGACTTACTCGTTACCTCCTGAATGGTTTGCAGGATGAAATAACTATGTTGTAATGTGTGTATTTGGGTAGAGCTTTGTTCTGAAACTGCTTTTTTCCCAAGCTTATTTTATTATTTGCTTAGACAAATGTTTACAGAACCCAATTACGACGGGAGCCTTTTATGAGGGGTGTACAAGCAAAGTACGTGGGCACTCCTTTTTGTCTCTGAGCTTCTGACTGTCCATTGTTGGTGCCTCTCTTCTTTCCTTAGTGACCTTGAAGCTGTGCAGTGAGTCTGGTTAGGTCACTGTTCTGACTGTCAAAGTTTCCAATAAGGAAAGGCAGGACCATCCCTTTTGATGGTGACATGGTAGTAGACTAGTTTAAGGTGGTGATGGACCTGCATAAATAGTAATTTATTGATACTCAAAGGTTAATTATTATTTGAGTATCAGGGAAGAATGTGTGTTGAGCTCAGCATCTCAAACATTAAGGACTGAAAACCTCAGATTATTTCTTACAATTTTTTGTTGTTGTT